CCCCAAAACCCCAAAACCCCAAAACCCCAAAACCCCAAAACCCCGAGTTTATGGGAGATGATAGAATTGTTATGATTGGTAATTTTTGAGTAATGGAGGCTAGAGAATTGGTGGATATAATTGTATTAAACTGCCTTTTAGCGGTTAGAAAAATTTTGAAATTATTTTAATAAGCAGAATCATGTTTAGCATGATAAATTAGGAATACATAATGGTGCTCCCATGTTCAAGGAAGTGGTAAATGGCTGTTAACATCTCTTGAGCAGTGTAACTAAAATTGAGAAGCGCCTTCTCTCTTCTCATAGCAACAGCGTAGATGTCATAGGTCTTGGCTGCCTCTAGTTCATCCTCAAACGTTCCGATATACTTCTTAGTATTCTTCACATTGATGAGGGCTTGCCAGTTTGAGTTATTCCTTGAAACTCCAATGTACTGGGATCTTCTTGAAAGTCCCGCACCTGTAGTCTCCCTAGTCTTCTTGGAAGAAGAGCTGAATGAAATGGTAAGGTCCTTCAGGATACGATTCCTCATCCTTACCAGTCTAGCCCTGATATTGAATCTTGAAGACCTTCTTCAACTTCTTCTCCTTGTACTTATTAGTCTTTCTTCAGCAGTAATTTCTCCTTGTTCTTCTTGAACCTGACTCTCTTGAGGATCAGTCTGGGTTAGGCTGCCTAGATCCATAGATGGTTTGCTAGCCGACTTAGTATTCTTGGGTGCACTTCTCTCTGATTGCTCTTCAAGACTATAATTTGGCATAAGAATTAAGTTTACAGAAAAATTAAACTTGAGAATCTCTTAGTAAATCATTTTGTAAATACTTACCTCTTATCATCGAGAGGGTTGTCAATCTCTTGTTTCGAAGGTGCGAAGTGGTCAAGGTTCGTGCAATAATCATCCAAACTAGGGGAAATCTCATGGAGTAATTGACAGAGGCAGTAGGCATCACCCAGTTGATAAAGCGTATTTATATACTCCCATATGGGTAAAGAACTTTGACTTCCAAAATTCCATTGGGTATGTTGGTTCATCTTGAAATTTAATTTTATAAAATAATATTTTTACTTCTTAAATAAGCTAACCTCGAGGTTTGAGTATTGTGCTATTTGTACAGCCAGATGAAATAAGATTTCAAAGTTAATTTTTGCTAAATTTTATGATTATTTTTTATTTTTTTGAGCAGTAGGAACTCATATGCTCAGATCCAAGGAGATAGTCTAAGGAGAAAAAGGAAGGTTATTAATAATTAAATATAAGCCTTCCGTGATTAGGAGATATTGCTAAACTTATCCTTCATGATTATGGTATAGCCGATTTTTCTTCGATTTTGTTTCAATTTTAAAGCTTTTGGCTGATAAAATAAGCTGTTGTCTTCCTACCCTATTGAAAAATTAATTCATTGAGAATTTTTACAACTTTAATTTATCTGAAAAAGAGATATCCTAAATCACCTCGGTAAATTGCTGTCTCAAAATTAACCTTCAGCTATCATTTTTAGTGTCTCTATCTTGATAGAAGCCTTGGAATTTTATTCCTGCTAGCCTACCAAAATTGATTTCTTATAAACCACAAGACTACTAATAAATTCTTCATCTTTAGCATCCTTACTACCCCAGGCACTTCCAAATCTGCCCTAAACAACATCCAGAACCCACCAGAGCACCTACTACATCCCCTACCTATATAACTCCAGTCCTACTCCCCCACCCACCCAACCTTCCCACTAAAAATCCTCCGACTTAAATTTCATAAATTCACCTAAATCCAAACATTTTCTCTAAAAATCCACCCTCGAGCCTATTTTTGTATTTAAGCAAACTGCAAAAATTGAACGATTCAGGTATTTTAGGTTAAGAATTATAGATTTGGCTGCTTCTTGGTGACTGGCTTAGGCTGGGGTTGAGAGGTTTGAGGGGAGAAAGGGGCTTGAAGTGAATTTGGGGGGGGGTTGGGGCATGGGGGTTGGAGGGTGAGAGGGGGTGGAGGGATGGGGATAGGGGAAGGGAGGGATTAGGTTGGGTCGATTTATGATACATTTTTGTAATTTGGGTGTTATTTCAGGAGTTTAGGGTGATGGTGGCTTGAAATAGGTGTTTTTGCCATTAATTTGTATCCTTTCTATATTGTAGATATTTTAATTTTGAAAGAAATTGGTATTTTTTATGAAATGAGGCAGAAGATTTTCTCTCCTAAAAGAAAAATAAGCTTGCTAACTAAAATTATTTTTGGATCATTACAATGTTTTAACATCACAGATTCTTTTAAATTTTCTAGACGAGCATTTTGAATAACGATTTATAATCTTTTCTCCTTAAAAAAGAAAGAAATTTATTATGCATTAAACTGTTCACAGCTTCTGAATGGCTTTCATATCCCAGAAGTCCTTACAATTCTAAAGTCAGACCATTTAAAGCATCTACTACTATTAATCCCAGATATGATTTTCAGCAACAAATGAACTCCAAGCTTCTCTTTGCCTTTATTCTTGTCCAAAATAAGCCCTACTCACACTCCTCAACTCTCTCATCAAGAAAAAATCTAAAGTAAGCGTCCAATAAAGTATAAATCTCTTAAACCTAGTCTAAAACAATTCTTCCCCTAAACCCTCACAAAATTCACGAACACAGCACATTCTAATCCCCAATCCCTTTGTTCCCACTTTTTTATCTCTCTTCTTCCTATTTCCTGCTCTAACCCTGCTTGCACTCTTGAACTAGAGTAAGTTCTTCAGGCCATGGCCTAGCAGCCTACTTCTAAATAGCTCTTGCAGGAACCTTAGGAGGGTTCCAAGCGAAGTATTGCTGCTGTAAGGAAGGAGGCTTGCTCCAAGCCAGTGGGATATAGTTGGTTGGGAGTTGGACTGGGAGGGTTTTGAAGGGAAATATTTGCTTCAACAGGATATGTTAGGAAGGGGTTTTGGGGTTTTGGGGTTTTGGGGTTTTGGGG